AAATTTACAATAGAAAATTTTATGTTAATCGATTTTATTTAATATAAATATAAATTATTTAATAAAAAACATTTAAATAATAATGGAAAACGCGCTCCTAGTATATTTCTGGTCTAGGAGCACCCCTGAGTCAGAGCGTCACGTGACCACCCGGCGACTCGGCCGTACGGTGGTGGGGGTCGCGCGCCGGAATCGGCCCGAAATGTGCAAATCCTTGCGACCACTGTTCTAAAGAGTAAGAAGTTTATAGTCTCTTTCCATGATAATAAAAATTGCAATTATAATGAAATTAAGAGGCTAAAGGTTTACGTAGAATTTTCTAGAAAACAAAGATTTAATTCGGGATATAGTGTCATCGAAGATATTACTATTGTAATTTACCTGGACTTGCATCAAGTTCCGAACTTAGTAACGTATCCTCCTTCAGATCCTGCAAATCAACAAACTGTTCTTCGTGATTTGTTGCGCCTAACGGCACGGCGGGATCTACCAACTGTTGATAATCGGTTCCGACTTCATGTAAACTCGAATTAGGCGACTCCGCCACTGTCAGCGGTTGCGAATTGACATCATTGTATTGATTAAATTCATCGGAATATGTCGGATACTCAGATGCGAAAGACCTGCATTTCAAGTAGGAGATACGCTGTTGTTCATTGTTTATCATCGATGTGTACACATCGTTAGATCTCTTCTTGTTGTTTGTCACCAGAAGATCCTCGTCGCTGCATATCCTTTTCAACCTGTTCTGTACTTCTATTCCCGACGAGGCGATAGAATTATCACTCGCGCTGTCATCAAAATATTGTCCCTCCTGCTTTTTTACACAATTGAACGTTCCCTCGGTGCCACGTTCTACCTTGATATTGCATGTGGTGCCTTCGTTCAAAACATTTGCATTTGGAGAACTATCCAAACAAGATGTATGATTACGAGGCGCGCGGGAGCTCTTACCAGACTTGCGAGTAGCAAGAACTTTCGATTGTGCAGACATATCGTTTTGAGTATTGCCATGGCTGTTGTGGCCAGCGTTTATCATTTCAAGTATTGATAAAGGCTTGCCGGACGGCATCGCGCTCTCTGAATCCGATATTGGGCTTTGCTCCGCGCTATTCGAATTAATCAATTTTCCAATAGACTCTTGTTTGGGAGATACTTTTCCTTGAATAATCACGCATCGGTTGATTTGATTAATGCCGATCTTATTGGCTTGCGCGGAAACTGGTGGCATACGGGAAGAAAATATAGCAGCCTTTACGTACTGCGTATGCGGCATCGGTGAAGGAGACGAACAATCCTCCGTTATAACTGACGAGGGTAAATCGCTGATTAGGTGATTAATAGCGACTTCGAGCTGCGATGGATCTTCAACGCTGGCTTTTGAATTTGATGACGGGGTGTTCTAATAAATCATTTTTTTCGTTAAACAACCTTTTTGCTCGTAGTTTTATAATGTAAACGAAAGCGCATTGCGTTAGATCTACACATATACCTATATATGTATAGTTTGACTTACCATGTCCGGTGATGTTGGTAGTGCGTTATTGCCGATATCTGGAATCAGACTTCTACTACTTGTGGACACGGTCGCAGAGAACCTCGTTTTCATCTCTTTTATTAGTTGAATACCCTCATCTTCCCTACATACAAAGTTTTCCTATTGTTATATATTGTTGAATACTATATATGTTGCATGATATAACCGATATGTTTGTTTTAGCACTTGGAGAACAAAAAGAACAGTTTTTTTTAGGCTGGAGCTAGTGGAAAAGCAGGGCAAGTATGCATAAAAGCATAGATTTTACTCCAAGAATTGTTTCACGGTCTCAACCAATTACTGAACAAAGTGAATTTTGTGTGGTGATTATTCTACAAGTGTTCTACAAGTATTTGAAAAAAATAATTGAATCTTTTAATGTTTATTGCTCGTTAATGTTTCTATTCGGATCCATCAAAACCGCCTTGTCACTTGCTCCAATCTACCCTAAATAGAGAAACTGTACTTACGTCACCATGGTGTTAACACAAACGAAGGATTCCACCATATTCATATCTCTGTCAATTTCCAAATAACCGTGGGTCCGTAAGTAGATGAACTCACCGTTCTTTGTGAGTAGCCTGTAGCACGACGAGCCGCACATTTCGGCGCGGTCGTACACTATGAATGTAAAACAAATTATGATTAATTACGAGAGCAAAACGATATTTGACCCATCACGAATTAAAAATAGTTGTTTTACATATACTTTGTTGCCATATCTAAATTGCAATTTGTTATGGAAATAGGATGCAAAATATCTCATAAGCGCTCGCGTCGTAAAGCCTGAATGCATTAAAATAATGTTAGCAAATAATGTATAATATAACATTATTAAACTGACTGTTATAAATATACGATACAACGTATAACTTTAATAATTTAATCATCGAACGTGATAAAATATACATAAATATTATTCGAATAATTTAGATATTTTTCGTCGAATTCTAGAAGGAAAGGAAGGAAAGAGAAAAGATACTGGTATCGTTGTAAAATGTAATGGCTGTCAAGTGATGCGGCAAATATTGTCGTCAATGCGAAGATTTAACGCTAGTTACATTTAAATGCTTACTTTGCCGTAGGCCGATCATCGTCCACCTACAATCGTCCTTATGCATGAAGCCGAATGCGTTCAAACCCGATATCTCCTCTGACAGGTACCCGGCAATGACCGATACCCTATGGTCGCAATAAATGATACGCCCATCGACCAGATGCCGCGTCACATACTCGTCTTTATTGGCGTCCATTATCGACAATTCGGTGATGGGCCGTTTCTGTGGCAGAGTCGCTATGCCGGCAAAAACGATGTCGTTGGTTGTGCTCGTCGCCTCTGTTAAAGTTATTTTAAATGTATTATTATTAGCAAAAAACAATCAGCAATTGCACAAAGTAAAATCGGAGATGAAAATCGATTGTTCCAAGAGAATTTAGATGACGGCAATCATAAAAGCTTCAGAATAAATATTCAAGGAGAAGCGATATTCTCAGGTAACAAGCTGACGTCAAAAAGAGGTCTTTAATAATATTTTGATGTCGAAATGATCACGAATAACGTCAACTTGCTACTTGGCACTGAGAGAAAAAAAATAGTTTTAGAGCTATATAAATTAACAACTCTAAAATTGCAACTAGTTTTACAAAGTAACAAGAACTAAAGTAATGTACTAAATACTATATATTTTTATATTATTCAGTACTACTTTAGTTCTTATTACTTTGTATAATTAATTTCAAATACTTTAGAGTTGTTAATTTATAGCTGTCAAAACTAATTTTTCTTTTCTCAGTGTAAATATTTAAATTTCCATTTTATTGAATAAACCGATGAAAGAGTGTTTGATTTTGGGACATTAATCAGTCTTGAATCGAAACGTAAGTTACGAGAGAAGGTGAAAGGTTCAAAATGCAAATACATAAATCATATCTTATCTCCCTTGAGAAAGCTCTATCATGGCGAAAATATAATTTCAACCAGTTTACTTATTTAATGCCGAAAAGTGAAAAGTTATGTTGGATGTTGGTTTTCTATTAAATATTCAGGCAGAGAAAAATTCAAAATACATACATCAAAGAATTCGTGAAAAGTGGTGCGACAGGTCTGAATATCCTGTATAATAAGGACCGTTGGGCACGGTTAAAGCCCGCCCTCATCGGATCCATTTCTTTGAACACGTCTTTCTAAACGGTGTCTTTCGCCGTTCGATTCTCATCTTAGAGACAAGCAAAAAAAAAAAAGAAAAAGAAATCTACGCTAAACACTCGTGACGCTGCGCCTACATATTTTCGTCCACGACGGCGAAGGTCTAAATTTAAATACAGGAGTAGCGTAAATATTTGCGATACTCGTTTCGAAACCAGCGCTACAGGTTTTCAGTCGTGTCGCGCGATAAAACGAGACCATCGATCCGAGGAATATACACGCGAGAGTAACTCACTACACGAACCGTTCGACATGGAATACGTAATGAAGTTCGATATGGCTGATTTATAGGGAAAACCGTTATCATACGGGGTTGATTGTTAAAAAGTTAATAACTCAATTAGTGACAGAAAATTCTCTTCTTTTTATTGTAGATTTCTGATATAATAAAGTGTTGCGTAAAATGGTTTACGCTAGAAATGTCATGTATTTTACTTGCAACGATTTGTAAGAAAATGAAGCTGGTCAGGAATTTTTCTTAGCTTTTTTTATTTTTTCATTCGTTTTTGGAATTATCAATTGCGATTTCTCTGTAATCATAGAAAATGATACGTCTTTATGGATAATTTTTATTATAATTAATCGTTATTGCAACAAAGTATGTGAATATAATCTCTTTTTAAAAACGGTTACGTGAGGTAGATTGATGAGCCGGATTAAGGATTTAACAGTCAATTTAAATCTCTTTATATGCTTTTAAAGAATATGTTTACAAATATAATATTTCAAATAAACGTATGTATTATTTAATTTTTCGTACTGTAGAAACTATTATTTTATGATTAAAATCATTGTTTTACTCGTATATATACAATTACTATTATTTCCTAAAATATAAAACTGACATTAATAAAAATGTATTTTTCATATATTTTATCTATAAAAAATATGTCACTATTAAACCTGAAACATGTCAATCAATTTTGAGTATGGGTTTAATTGTCACATTTTCGCAGTTTTATTTAAAATTAAATAACTTATTTGTACGATATACGATGCATTAAAAAGTCATATTTTAAAAGAGACGTCTGCGATTGTCGACACACATAATATATATAGTCACGATAGGATTATTTAATTCGCGATGGGAACTATCTTGTTGTTAGCTATGCCACACAATAAAACGGTGTAATCGAAAAACTTGATTGTCGAATCGTAATTGAATTAAATGCCATGTAAATAGTAATGTAAGCAAGATATTTATTCGCAATCAGTTTGTGAATTAAAAGCTATTAAAATCAGGGTCTACATTATTTAACAGCCAATTTCTCTTTTTTATCAAATTGATTTATGAATCAATTTTCTAAACTCATAGTAGTTCTTTAAAATTTATAGTGCAATTATTCTATTCCCCCAATATTTCAATAAAACATCTTATTTGACAACTGCACACAATGGCTAAGTCAGAGGGTAAATGTAATTTGAAGGAGAATAACAAAGTCTTGACATCAGAACTAACAATAAGATCTGTATCTGACTCAGCATGTCAAAATGTTATTCTGTACAATCGCTTTGAACTGCAGTCATTACACTTTTTATGTATCATATTCAAAATGTATAATTTACGTTTTAAATTATGCAAACTAATTAGGATAATGGACTACGGTACAATAAATAAAATGATACAAGAACGAAGTAAAAAATATGATACAAGTTAAATTCATATTTTAGTTGGCGCTCTCTTAACGTTAAATTTTTTTCAGATTATCTTCTAAAATTAATTTACCCGATGTCGAATTCCAATTTCGCAACGGAGCTGTTACGAGATGATTTTTAGAGTTATATCTATCGCAGGACGGTTAAAACTCACCCCGTTGTCTCCCTCTGTGCTCGTTGATGTCCACGTTTTTGCAGGCTTCTGCGAGTCGGAGAAGACCCGAAACGTCGAAACACTCGTACTGCGTGTGGTCGCGCCTGGAATTAGTGCGTTGCGCTATGCGGATTTTGAAGTTCCGCCTCTGCTCGAAGAAGCGTTTGGGCTTCTCGTTCGACCGTTGACTTGACGTCGAGGATTCCTCAGAAGAGTTGGAACTGTTATCGTGTGTCAACTCGGACACCTGCGGGATGTTCATCGGTGATGGCGTCGACGATGACATCGGCTGCCCATCGGGCAAAAGATTACGCTTGAGCTCATCAAGGTCATCGGGATAGATGAAATTGAACAGGCACTGACCCAGCAATTCGTTCTGCGAAACACAATTTCCGAAGTTCAGATGAGAGAGTCTAATTCCGAAGTTTAGATGAAACTACCCCGTACTGCCGTTGATGACCTTTGTTAACTCGTGACTTGTATATCAGTAGTGATACAGTCACGCAATAGTCTCCTAATAGGGATTATATTAAGGGAAAAATTAGTTAGAATTACAAGAGAAGTTGCGAGCTATACAAACTTTAGTCTTCTTGTTTTCATCATTGAGCCATTTTATTTTCAGGATAAATAATACGGTACTTTGGAACGCGGAGGAAAATCGATGTTCTTTTCTCATCTTCGATAAAACAATATAGTGTCATTCATGATTTTTATACAAATGCATTTAATAAGTTTTATATAAAAAATATAATTAAACATCGTTCATTAATTTTCGCTATCGTAGTGGAAATTATTATCATGATTTATTAAAGTTAAAATGTAGCGCGATTGATGTATTTAATTCTATCCATTTTCTATATAATATAGAGTACCTTCGTGCTTATCCTTCGAATAGAGATAATTTAAGGTTTCGTTCGTGAAGTCCTCAGACTCCTTCTGTGAAGAGTTCTACACACGTCAGGCTGAATGATATTTTTCGCGCAGCGAATCGCGTCGCGATACGTCAACAACGATGACGATGACGACGACAACGACGACGACGGCGGCGGTGCACCATGTCGGCGACGAAGCTCATTTTCACGGCAGGCGGTTTCTCCTTGAGAACAATACAGCCTGATTGTGAGTGCCTTCTTAAAAAACGAGAGCAACCCGCAAACTGCGCTCGCAAACAACTCTCTCGTCCTGTCTGCCCTTCTTCCACCTACACCTTTCTCGTTCCTTCTCTATCGTCGTCAGTTCTGGCATCTCTTGCACAAGTAGAACCAAAAGAGAGAGACAGAGAGAGAGAAAGAGAGAGAGGGGGGGGGGGGTGGTACTTGGTCGTCTTCCAAGAACCGCCCGGTTCGTTATGGTAGAGTGGCGAATTATCGTTACGCCTGAATCTGGAGCGCCACCGGCGAACACCAACGATCGATACAGCGCGGGGGACATTTTTTACATTTTACCCACGGCCGTCCCACTATGATCCGTCTCGTTGTTTTCTCGCAGAAACATGGAGGAAACCTTCAGGAGTTACGGGGAGCCGGAATGAGAAGCGATATCGCGGAGCTTCCACCCTCGCTGTAAACTGCAATCTCGTGAAATTCAAGCGAGAATTTGAAACGAGCATTGAAGTCTCCGGCGGATTCTCTAATTCGACGTAAATCTCTATGAATTTCAATTAATTTTGTTTGGATAATCAGCGCTTCATCGAGCGTACGTTTATCGTAGTGGCGTGGAACTTTCATCCTTCCTGTTGTTTCGGAACCAATAACATCTTTGTCGTCGTGTGCGATTTCTTGGAAGATCGGGTTCACGTAAACACGTGTAACCTTGAAGGCGAGTAAAAGGACGATAACCCTAAGCGGCTAACATTAGATAATACTTCTGGGAAGACTCTTCTAATGTCCCTCTTTGAAATTTCAAATTTCGACATCTCTTTTTAGCATCACTTTTATCTAACACGATTATTTTTTACAAGTCAATTCAATTAGATGATTGTATTGCAGATAAATATTCAAAATAAAAGAAGGATCACCGACTAGTTGGAAAAAAGATCAATTTGCAAAATTAATAGAAACGAGAATTATATCTTTGTGCCGTTTCGCAAGAGATGACAATTATATTGAACGACGTGGAGTTCGATAGTTGTTTCTCGTAAACCAAGTCTGAAACTGACAGCAAATTTCCTACAAATCATGGGAAGAGAAGAGAAGCCAGTTAGAAACTAAGCGTAGTTGCAAACGTGCAGCTATTTCTAATATCTTTAATTGTAATATTTATCTAAATATCTATATAATAACTATAGATATTATATCGATAATATCTGTAATGTCTTTAATATTTATTTTGTAATAATTGTATCACCAAGAAACGTAATAAGAGCAAAACGATCTACCATAAAATCTGCCTTTTTGTTCCTAACCTCGTAATTTCTCCTATTCTAATCGATTATATACATCATCGCAGGTATATTCTACTCATTCTCCGCCTAATATTCGTTGTGTTGTATTGTTTGAAAACCTCTGGGGTCTCTTGCATCATCAGTCGTAATCTGAATCCACCTTTTCTTTACCAAAAGAATACCAAAATTAGTTTTCAGCTATTCTTAGCGCTCGCATGATTCTGTATATACCGCGAAAGGGATCATTTTGCTATGCGTGCCTCGACGTGACCGTGAGAATCCAAAACCCTTGCGAAATCAAGGTTCGACGAATGGAAATTCAGTATACACGCGTGCAGGATTTCTCGATAACTAAAAAAAAGTGTTTCTTTCCCACAGTTAATCGCACGTATTTGTTATTGTTTACGAATAATTGAAAAAATTAATGAGATATCAAAGATTAATGAATCCTAGTATTACGAGAAGTTTCCTTCATGAGTGCAGACGCCCTGGATACTGTTGAATGTCGGCTGCACATTATTGACTTCTGTTGTTTCTAAATTTCGATTATCCAGAAATCCCATGTAGGTCCGTGACTCAGCTTTTAATTGAGCTAGATTAATTATTAACTTAGTTTCTCGCGAACACTAAAGTTTCACACGATCTTTCGTCAAGATTGGTAAGAACGTAGAAATTTTTATAAATAATAGATATTTCCAATAATACAATGATATTGATCGCAAAGTGCTAAAACAAGGATAAACATTAGTTCTTAACGCCATTTTGCGAAAGAAAAAAAAGACAGAAAAATAGATCGAATAGGTATTTACATTTTAAAATTTATTCAAATTATAGCCTTTTTAACATTTCAAATTTTTGAGATACACGTGCAATGCGTTCGTAACTGAAATCATTTAAAAATAGACTTTGCCTTTTAATATTGCAGTGTAATTCTGAAACATACAATAGTAATATCTTTTTTTGCTTCTGCATTGACGATTTATAATTTCAAGATAAAAATACGAAATCTTTTTGTTCTGTTTATATTTTGTTCTTAACCTTTTTCTCCTCATATCTGTTTAATATCTTTTCAGTGCTGTGCAGTTCTATATCCGCATAAAAAATACATTATTTCAGATAGTTTCTTTGAATTTATCTCTTTTTCAGTGCTGTGCAGTTCTATATCCGCATAAAAAATACATTATTTCAGATAGTTTCTTTGAATTTGTCTCTTTATAGCGCGTCGAGTAGGAGTGAAATAAGATTTCTCTCTCTCTCTCTCTCTCTCGCTGAGGGTATGTGTGAGAGAAAGAGAAAGAGAGAGGAGCATCACGTGCATAATTACGACGTCTCTGATAGTCCGGAAAAGCTGGCACATCGATCTTGGATAACGACGCTATGCCATCAAGGATGAAGCAGCAAAGCGAGATTCTCGTTATACGTATATCTCAACATTGATTGCTAATTATTCGTGTACAATACTCGCTTAATGTTAAGCGAATAATTAAATATCTGTAGCGGATAATTGTTAGGCTCGATTTTATCGCAAGATATAGATGAGCACCATTATTCCTGTAACATTCAGTACCTGATCCTTAAATATGCCGGTTAATCACACGCTTCGGTCTTATGTACTGATTCTCTCGGCAATTCACTTAATCTCGGATAGCAAAAAATTAATAATTCACGATAAATAAAATTCCGCATTTTGCGATATCGAGTTATTATTCATTTTTCTAACGTGAGAAACAGAATAGACACACATTAGTAAACACAGGTAAAATCATAAATAATAATTTATTTAATAACTTATATAACGCTTCTATAACTAATGTACATGTCGGTATAATGACAATGTCGGTATTGTTATATTGTCGTTAACGCAACTTTTTTAACGTACATCATATACTTGCATCAACTTGCACAACGATACTACACGGAGAAAATTTTATATTAAGTTTTAATACACAATTTTAAATTACACTTTACTATGTCTTGTATTTTCGATGGACTCTCACAACATGATTCCGACTTAACTTTTACTATGGTAATACTAATTTTTATCACATAAATAAAGTAATTATTTTGTTAAGCCATATTCTAACACGAAAACAGTTAATTTTTACTATGGTACGCAAACAAAATTTGCTAGGTATATTTGATTTTGTAATAAAAAATTTTTACTTTGGAAAAGTGTAAAAATTACGTTATATTGTTTTAAAAAAAATAACTATAGAATTTAAACTTATAATTTACAATATTTACATGAAATTTTTTACTATGGTACGCAAACAAAATTTGCTAGGTATATTTGATTTTGTAATAAAAATTTTTACCATGGAAAAGTGCAAAAATTACGTTATATTGTTTTAAAAAAAATAACTATAGCATTTAAACTTATAATTTATAATATTTACATGAAGATCGCAGCTACCACATTATAGTAATTTTAAATATAAAATTTTCTCCGTGTTTGTATAATGATACCAACACTATCGTTATTTAAAAATTACAGAATCGGGATACTGATCTTGTAAATAAAACTGTATTATTTGTACAACTAGTATAATATACCTAGTACAATATAAAGTTAATAAGCCCTATAGGGTAACTTCGGTATATACGCCGCGCTGGGATTTATGCCGCGAAAGTCAGAAAAAATAGAAGGAGTAAGGGTAATTTTCTCGCAATTACTCTGTTACATGCCTTTATGTTATATTAGTATTGAGTTATAATTTCAGCTTCTTACTGTTAATATTAATGAAATTATTGCGAGTTGAATCGATTTGTCACTGTGTGTGTAACAAGTAGCATCATCATAAATTATAATCTACATAAAATGATTACTGTAAGGCGTGTAAAAGACCTATAGTGGTTATTTCGTGATACATACGTGTAGAGGAATAGTAAAGCATGTTATATAGCAAAATACAAGTGCTTTACTTTCGTATTCTCTTTGTTTAATTTATTGAAACCCTTGCATTTTTGCCATATATCCCACCCATTATCTATATATAGCAAAAATGCAAGGTATTTCAAAAAGTTTATTTTTTAATATGAAAACTAAATATTTCGGATTTCTAATATTTTTTTCATAGTGGATAGTATAAAGTTTTTACTGATATAGTTCGTTTATTTTAAACATAGTAAATAATACTTAATAAATTAAGTTTTTGATAGGTGCGGCGTATATACCGGAGTTACCCTAATAGTAGTTATCTCGATGTTATTGTTTCATTAAATAAAATTTTATGATTTATTTAAAATTGCAAACAAACTACATAATGTTTAATCCAAAATAATCATTACCCTTTTGTAAAACCTCGAAAAACATTTTTTATATTCAAATTATATAAAAATATGTATTTGTCTTCATATTTAAAATATTTAAATATAACGTGCTTCTATAGTCGTTCCGTCAGTTAAACAAACATAAACGAAATTCCTTAACAGTTTTCAGTTTCATATTCCATAAATTAAAATGGCTTTTTGTAGAAGCCGGATTCAACGAGAGAGGGGGGGGG